CTTCCTCCCCTAGCCCGAAACTACCAAGCGCAAAAGGGTTAACCCCCCCCCCCCAAGAGTTCGGCCCGCCCCTGCCCCGCGCGCATGCGCTCCTCCCTCTCCCAAGCCACCATCTTGGCGCTGCCTCCATTTTGCTGACCCGCGTCTCCTAGAGTCCCCCGCCTTCCCCCCTCCCGCCGACCGGCGTCCCGCTCCCAAACGCGGCCTGCCCTCTCCACCCACGGGGTCCCCGGGGCCTATGCCCCGTGATACCGCAAAATGGCGGCGGCCTCCCTCCCGCCCCCCTTTCCGCGCGATCGACTCGTTGCCAAGACAGCCCTCGGGCAGCAGGAAAGCAACCGCCGCCACTTTCGCGGCGTCGCGTCCTCACCCACCGTAGCGCCCGTAACGCGACATAGTCTCCCCTCAGCTGGCGGCTCCGCGTGCTCCTTCCTTATATAGCGGGACCAGCCGCGGCGCATGCGCATGCGGTAGGCTCGCCGCGCAGCGTGCAGGGAAGGACGCCCCTTGAGCACGCGGCCTCGCGTAGAGCCATTGCTTCCGGCTCTGGGAGGTGGGGGCACTGGGAGTGGGTGGCTACCTCCACCTCGGGGTCCTCGTTCCGCTCGTTGGTGCCCCCCACCCATGCCCTAGTGACCGTCTGTCCTGGGAAAGCCACGTGTGCTTTAATGAAACAATTCACATGCTTCCAGGATTAAGACGAAACACTATCTACCTCTCTCTATACGAGCGGCGTTTCATTTTAATCCTGGAAACGTGGATTTGGGGTTACTTTTTAAAGCTGAAAATTTGGGGATTTTTTTTTCTATTCAAGAACACCAGGATCCCTGGTAATAAGAACAGGCGAGGAAGCTGAAGCGCTGCATTGGGAAGGAAAACTTTCCAATTTTCTCTCCCTCTGTTTTCCTCAAGGATAGAAGAGAAACAGTTGCAGGGATGACAAACGTTGCAAAGTGTATCCGAAACAAGTTTTATGTCGATATGCAGCTGGTTGCTTATTTTGCAGCAAAATCAGATGAGCCTAGACCCCTTTTGTTCATGTACCTTGAGCCTTTGTATTCATCCTTCCTCAGACCTTAACAACCAGAGGGACCAGTCACATTTTGACCTCTTAACTCCCCACTGCATTTCCTCTTGCACTTGTTTAAATCCATTGTCAGGCTTTGCTGTTGCACCATCAGGGTTTGCAAACTAAATTATACATCTTCAATTTGCCCTTCAAAAAAGCATGGGGAGATTGAAAAGAAAATCTTTCCAAAGGATAGAACAAAAAGATCACAATCTGACTTTAAAAAGTCACCATAATAAACTTTTGATTGAAGAGACCTGCTTTAAAATTATCTGCAAGTAGAACAGATCTTCTTGTCTATAGATGTATGCACTCACACACCACTACAGAAAAACCTCAGTCTATCTAGATGTTTGTACATGTCTACACAGATACACACACATTGATCTGTTAATAAATTCTAACTGCATGTAATATGTAGAAAAATTATGTTAGCAATACCATCTTTGCAATGAATTTTCATTAAATAATTTATGCCTAAGCCTTTAGATATCACCTTACTTACAGATTCATTACTGTTATTAACCTTTGGGTCAGAGATTAGTCAAGAATGATAAGCTTTGTAGTTCTAGACCATTAGTTTGAACTGCTCTGATCACAGATCTCATTGGTTGTCTACACTGACTGTAAATAGTTGTTCTTATGATCAGTCTCAGCTGGAAATTTAGGTGAAAGCATAATAGCCATCACTTGCTGGCCTGCGAACACCTATAAAGAAGCACTGCAAGGCTTAGCACAACTGCTGATTGCCTTCCAAAGAGACAGTTCAGAGTGGAGGTCAATTAGCCAAACTAGCTGTGGTGGCTGTACACACACTGCCGAGTCCAGGTAGACTTTGTTGAGTACTAGATCAGCCTTCCAAAAGGAAACTGGGTTAACTGCCTGATTCCAAAATCCATTCCAAACAAAAGGGTGAAAAGATTCTGCATCTAAAGCTCATGCTCCCCACCAAGAAAAACTCTAAAAGAAATAAAAATCTTACCTCTTCCAGCTGGTCCTTATCTGGCAACAGCTCCGACATTGCATCTTGCATCCCATGCAACACTGAGATTCTTCACTGTGCTTTACACTGCTGTTTTACGTTGTAAAGCCAGAGACTATGAAAAACAGAACTCTGGTGCATGGGTGACAGCTAATCTGGATACCAGAGTCACATCAGACAGGTAAACATGGTCCAAGGTGTAGGGTTTCAGTTACAAACACCTTGAAGATATACTTTTTACCCTCAAATTTATTATTCTTTTAAATAGTTGACTTTGGAACAAAGGAGCCAATTATGAACTCTGTTCATATAATAAGGGAGGTAGAAGCTATCCCTCTTACAAAAACAGCCCCTAAGCTATACAGAATATAATGCTCTCTCCAAGCAAAATAATTTGCTTAAGATAAACACTGTTGTATGTACTTCTTATTATATAGTGCAGCAGCCTCACTTCAAGGGGTACCATCAACTTAAATCATGCTTCTGCCTGATAATTTCTACTGCTTACATTTACAAGTGACACCCAGGATCTCTATAACTGAAATTACAGGGAGTTTTCTTATCAGTGCTACTGTTTCCCTGGCTCCCATTTTTGAGGCATTTGCCCTGCAAGAGGCAAGATAAATAGGAAAATAGGACTGCAAGTTGGCAGAGCAACTTTGTGGTACGTTTAACACCTGAAATTCATATGACTTGCTGTTTTAAATGGGCCACATGAAGTTGATAGTATCTTTAACATAAGCAGAAGTTAAGGCACTGTAATGACTGCTGAACTAGAGAACTGCAAGATTTACAATCAAAGCAAATGAACAAGCTAAGCAGCTGGAATGCTTGTGGCACAAACTTGAGATGTCTTTGCAAAGAGGCAAAAGACACACATTTTAAATGACCTCATCGCATTTGATAGATGGGTTCAAGGGGATTTATTCAAGATTATGGTCAACATTAATTCAGGGGTGTCAAACTCATCTGGCCATGTGGTTCAGATAAATGGCATATGACCAGTCCTGGAGGCCAAATGGGGCTCACAAATGAGCTTGCCTAGTGTCATAGCAAGGGGGGGGGGTGTAGGGCAACCACCCCGGTGCCAAAGCGAGCAGCTACAGCACTTGTGTGAGGGTAGTTTGGGACATGTGCTACATGCAGCCCCCAGTTTGGCTAGCTCAGGATCCATGCTGCACACAGCACCCTCCCCAGAGCACTGAGGGAGTGTCACATGCAGCATAGATCCTGGACTGGCTGGGAAGGACACTGTATGCAGCACGAGTCCTGGACTGGCTGAGGCAGGTGCTATGCATGGAATGGATCATGGACTGGCCCTGGTTCATCATATGCACAGTGTTCATTGTGTGGGTCAACTTCAGATCAAGGGGCAGCACCAGAGGCCGGATGATGGGACTCTGTCAGCAGCTGTATCTTTGACACCCCCCCCCATTAATTCATTTTTGGAGGGTTATACGGAGTGTTCCATTGGTAAGGCTGCCTTATACCACTTCAACAATACACAGTGTTACAAGGAAACAAAAACATTATCTGATTGCTAAAGGACTTAATAAAGGAACAAGAATAAAAATAATTTCCCAACACTTCTTTCTTTTTGGAGTGGCCAAGAAGATTAAAAAAGTTATTCGCAGAAATTTAGAACACAAGATTTCAGACAAGCAGCAGTTTGTCATAAGTTGTCATATTAATGAAGTTCAGTGTTGTCAAAAATGAACAAATTTACCATATATGCAACGTAATTTAATTAGAAACTTGTAGCTACATGCTAACTTAACATGGCAACTTTCATATGGTACTCGATTTTCATCAACATTTTTCTACTAAAACAGGAGAACCATCAGCCAAATATTTCTAATAAATATTCTATACGATTTGTGTAAATCGACAGTAAAACAGAGTTTTACACAAACATTTTTGTCATTTAAACTTGTTAGCTTAACCTGGAAAGTACTGATTAAGCATGCAAATTTTTCTTTTTAAAAACAATATATTATGGCAAACTGTTTAGTCATATATACTGCCAGAGGGGGATGCGAACTCAGAAGCATTGTTTAAAGGCAGAAATCATATAGTCATAGGGAAAAAAAGCCTAACCTTTTCATACGGTACCACATTGTTAAAGAAGCTTTTGGCTTTGGAGTCATTAAATATACCATTAATATCAAATGACATTTTAAAATAAAAATATAAACAAATGCCCCCTGCTCTTAGATACACTGGTGTGTTGTTGTTTGTGCCCTCATATATAGAAAAATCCATGTAGCTCAAACCCAGCAGCACTGTTCATCCTAGCTCTACCAGTGAAAAGTAAGCCTGTCAATCACACACAAAAATTCTTAAGAAAAGGAAGTAACCTACCTACCCTTTCCCCCATTCTTGAAATATAAAATATTTGAATGAAAAGCTTTTGTCAATATGTCCATTATTGTGGTGCTGCAAAATAGCCCTGTAACAAACTTTGCACCCTAGACAGAATAATTTCATTAGAGCTGCTGCAGTCTTCTGGCCCATAGGGTGGTTCAATTGTTAAGACCCCTGCAACACATAGTGTTCTCTGTGATTCTCCTTCTTCTGTGACTGGAATATGATTAGTTTCCAGCCAGGTCTTCAAGCTGCTCTTCCTCCTCTCCAGCTCTTCCTGGCTGTAGGCTTGGCTCTCTTCTGGCATAAAGAGGTGAGCAAGCTGTTCCTGTATTGGGCTGTCCCCTTCACTCACTATTTCGACTTTTTGCACAGCATGGCCCAAGACAACTGAAACAGATACTTTTTCATCTTCCAGGAGCTTAGCTAAAACAATGCTGAAAGGAAAGGAGGACACACCATTCAGTATGAGTACCCAAGCAAAAAAAGAATGCAAAACACAGGCCAAGATGTAAAATACAGGTGCTAAGAACTAGGCCCAAATAAATAGCTAGATGCTCAACCATTATCTGTTCCCACTAGGATTCACTTTAAAACCATGTTAAAGAGTTAGAAAACACATTTTAGGCACTTATTTGTTAAAATGTTGGCCCTACCCTACTAGAAAAGTGGTCAGCAACTGTTGAAGGCTACATGCCAGACTGATCCAGATCTGGGTCAGAGGTAGACAGATGGGCAGGTGCTAAAACCCAGCCACCACCAGTATTCTTCCCCACAATGGCATGGAAAAGTGACTGCTGCCGAAGCCGCCTATCGCCAACTGATGCCAAAGCTCCATGTCTGTGATTCAAATCAAATGGCTCCATGGACTGGCTATAGTTTGCTAACCCCTGCAGTTGAATATTCTGTTAAAAAATAATAAACCTCCAAAACCTAGCATACAGCAAAATTAGGGCTGGGTGACTGGATACACTAAAAGAAGGAAATGCACTGTTAAGGCTTTGAATACCCAAACATCATAACTCTTAATTTGTATGTTTGTTTTTTTCTTAGCAAATTACATGTTGGAGGCCTGAATTTAGCATTCTACACCTTGGCATGAATTAAGTCATCACTAATAAGGCATAAACATAAGAAGGGAGATTAACTGTCTCAGACCTTCCTTAACTCAGTTTACCTGGTTATGCCCTGGTGGCAGTCAGCACCTGCTGATGTCCAGCCACCAGACCATATATGCTTTCATGTGTTTCTGGCAGTTCCATATGGTTACAAGGCAGCAGTCAGACTGGCAACCAGCAAAGTGCACTGTATAGCCGCTGCTGAAGTGCCTGCCAAACCCAGCAGAAGTCATGGGAGTATCTATACTCATCAGCTCATGGCAGAGGCAGAATCCTCCTGGCTTTAAGCAGAGGAGATGTAACTCTGCTAGCAGAAACGGGGATTCGGCCTCCACAGAGAGATTTGTCTGTAGACACGGACAGTTTTGGCTGCAGAACTTGAGAGCTACAAACAGGACTAGGCTACAGCACAATGTTCTTTCTCCTTTGTTATGTAAAAGAGCCTTGAATGTTTTTTCATGGAAAGCTAGAAGGGTGGTGAGGGAGAAGGAAAAGGGCTATAGAGAGAAGGAATTTTTTTATGTTTACATGAGAAAATTCAGGTCTTGTTTCTCCTGAAAGACTCTCTAGGGCAGCATTTCTCAACCTGTGGGTCTTGACCTAAAAGTGGGTCACAGGAATATGTGAAAGGGTTGTGAACAAACTTAAAAAATGGATCAACAAAGTTTAAAAATGGATTCTCCTTTAAAGGAGAAAAATGTGGGAAACTGTGGCTTTTTCCTTACAGGCTGGCGGAGTTCCAGCCTGCAAGGGGCTGCTTGGGGACCCCCCCCATACCTCACCCCCACCCCACACACCCATCCCCTGCCCCACACATTAGGGGGCTGGAGCTTGGGAGCAGCAGGTCAGGAGTGAGGGGCATTGGGCTGGGACTGGCCATTGATATTTACAAATGGATCCTGATTCAAAAAAGGTTGAGAACCACTGCTCTAAGCATAAGGAAGTGACACTGCCAATAAAGAGCAAGAGGGTAAAGGCTCTCCTTACAGATTTCATAGTGACAGTGTTCTGTCTGTTTTGACTGTGATGGAGCAAGCTCCTAAACCTTTTCAATACTTTGATACCCAAAGTTCCACAAGGACTGGATACCCACTGTGCTCCACTTAGTGTTCAAGGACAGACTACCTCACCCTTAAACTTGTCTTCAATATGTTAACCAATAAAATGATCTAGGACAGGTGTACTGGTGTCTTACCCTAACAAGTTCCACAAGTTTTTATTAAGATGATTTTATGCATCCTAGGCCCTCTTATGCATGCTTTCTTCATTAAAACACTTGGCCGGAATGTCATCATTCCCCTGCAGTCTTTTCAGCCTAAACCAATTTGTCAGTGCAGGGAAACAAAAATGAAAGCAACTTACCTATTTCACTTTCATTGTCCAAACTGTGTTCAATTCAAGAGGCAAAATACTATGTAAAGGTTTGTTTTCTGGGGGTTTTTTAATTGACTTCAAATACAGCAAGCCCTAATCTTGAGATATGCCAGGAGGAAGGTCAGTTCACCTATGGATTAATGTGGAACTGGGACCTTAAATAACATGTTATGTTATATATGTATGTTCAAAATTTTAAGAAAGCAAGCTCCTCAATATTTCCTCCTTGCTTTCTTTTGGAAGTGACCAAAGACATCCTCTGTTTACACCTGGTGCTAAATCAGGGGAGCAACTACATCTTAAGAGCACTTTGCCCAGATAAAAGAGTAAACCTAGGGAGAATCCAGAGCAACCAAGTTCAGGTGTTCCATCTGTTCTCAAGCACTGCTAGTCTTTTAAATAAGAGGAATTTGAGGTTAATTAATATAATCTCATAAGTTCTAGCATTCCCTTCCCTTGGCCCTGTCACCTGGAAAAGATGTCACCAACTCCTACCCTGCCAGTTCTGATCCGAGTGATTTCATGGCAGATCCCATGTCTGTTGATCGTCTGTCACAGTCACCATACAAATAAATAAAAGCTTTAAACCTACTTTGCAGAAACTGGGTCAACTGTTAAGACCCATCCTACATATTCATGCTTCTCAGCAGCTGTGACTTTCGCCTCCTTGTTTAAGTAGGTCTGCCATTCTAGAGGACTCTTTCTCTGCCATTCAGTCATCCTTCCCCCTCATAGAACCTGAAGGGAAATAAGTGCAGTTATTAGTGCCTCCGCTATAACCCCTTTCAACAGCATTGAGTTGGCTTCTCCTTTCTCTGTTAAGTCATGTCATTTCTTACATGTTCTCTGACTTTTTTTAAGGTTTAATTCAAAAAGTGTATAAAATGGCCATCACTTTGTTTCCATCCCAATTCATAATTTTTGAAGGTGCACACTGCTTGAAACTTCCATTTGGCAATTGTGTACAGGAAGCTGAAATATGCAACCTTTCCCAATGGCTTTTATTGGGAACTACAGCAGAACTGCTTCTGTTCCCCAGGTATAGCCAGGTAGGCATCCTCTGTTCGCAGGATCCCTCCTTGAAAGGTTAGGTAGGGAGGGGGAATGAAGACCTTTGCACAAGACTGAATACAAGGTGGAAGCCCACAGAGGCAGGGAGCACTGTCAGCAAGTGTTCTTCACTTTGTGGCTGCTGTCTTTGGGACGAGAAATTATTTGATGGTTGGGAGATTCCTTCAGTCCCTGGTCCCCCCTGGAATGCTCAGGCAAATCTGCTTAAAATGAACCAAAAATCAAGAGAGAGAGAGAGAGGGTGTGTGCATTCTGACTGCATCCCACTACTTATTTAGCAAATGCAAATCCATGAAGCCAAACAGTAGCCTCCTCATTAGCCGAGTTCAAAATGATTAATACACCTCTTAGTTTGTAGAGGGGACACTCACTCCTTGGTGACATGCTGCATTGTTTGTACCTTTCCACTAGTAGCACTAAGACCCAAGCAGTGAAGGTTGGCTGCGCAGGGGCCTTGGCCTGCCCTGAACCTGTTTAGCAAGGACCCCTCTTGTCAGGGCTGTCACTACGGCAGTGCAAATTGGAGTGATCGCCCTGGGCCCTGTGCTTTGGGAGGCCTTGTGAACCTGTGCCGTACAGGTCCCACCACGGCCCCGCCAGCTTCTGTGGGTGGTCACACAGCGCTCACCATTCCCCCCCCGGTTGAGATGCCCCTGGCCCTACAATCCCTAGAGTTGGCTCTGCTTGCTGTGATAGTTCATGGTGAGTGGTCCCTGCTAAACAGGTGCAGGAAGGCCAAGGCCCTTGTGCAGCCAGTCTGTATCCCACTGAAAGGTTCATGAATCCCACACTGGATCCTGGGGTTCCAGAGTGGTTTTCATTTGGACAGCAGAAAGTCACTGATATCCAGACCGTTCATTCTTGTTCCTCTGCTTGTGTGTGCATGCATGAACAATAATATACTAGGA